CTTGGAGTGAAGATTTACATCCCAGAGCTTATCATATACATCATTATGAGCATGATATCTCTGATTTCTTTTTCCCTCTCTCTCTCTCTATGGAGTAAACCTTTCTCTCACTTGGGTATGAAGAACCCTGGTTTCATGTGTTAGGAATCTTGATTGTAATGACTTACGGGATGATGTGCTGATTGGTTTTAATCGATTGAAGTGTGTTTATTGAGTCAATTGAATCCCGATCAACTTCATTTGATTCTGCTTCAACCTATTATAAATAGAATCTGATTAGGATGTTATAGTTTCTTCAATCGTTAGGAGTGAATTGATTGTACGAGACTCAGTCAATTCACTGCTTTGTACTGGAATCCAATTCCAGTAGTGGAGTTCTGTGTGAATCGCCTTAGCAGTCTATTCCGGTGAAGGCTAGTCATCTACCAAATATACTGTCTAAGAGGGTTTGGTCAGGTTAAGAGATTTTAAGCTATTTTTGGATCTTCTGTAGTCTAATCAACCAAAGTGAATTATAACTTGAACCTAACTAAGGAGCTAGGGGGACTCATTCCCGAGTGACTCTTCTTCTGCTAAGTAAACTGAACAATTTACTACTTTCTTTCTGCTTTAGATTAGAATCACAATCACTCAACTCTTATTGCTGGATAATAGAATTTCACTGAGTAGGCAGTAAATCTAGACTCAACTCTTATTCTGCATTTTCATTCATTGGTTACACTTGGCCATTGTTTGGTGTTGTATCGTAGCGTGTCATCTACAAATTGTTGCCTTCCATCTTTTGCCTATTCTCTTTTGCCATTCTTCTCCAACTTCTCCCAACCCCAAAATTACTAACCGACTGGATTGACAGTGTGTGCTCTGGGGACACTCGGGGCTAGAGTACTTAGGGGAGGGGTTCCTCGCCATACTTTTCCTCTGTTTCTTAAACGGTTAATGACCTTAATTCAGCAGCCGACGCTCCTCATGGCAGTGGTCTCTGTTCTTTGGCGCATCTGGCGGTCTAGAAATTGGGTGGTGTTTGAAGGAAAGCAATTTGGGTTCCCCGCGTTGATGAGGCAGTTTTCCCAGCAGTATGAGGAATGGGTGGGGTTGACGGTGGATGTGCCCCCCATGCCTTCTCCCCCGATGGTTCCACGGTCAGGTGGGCTGGGTCAGGCTGCAGGGTTTACTTGCCAGTGGGACGGGGCTACCAGGAAAGGATCACATTCAGCAGGTGGCATGGTTCTTCTGTCTCCTTCTGGGGATGTTCTTATGGCTAACGGGATTCAGTTTCAAGGGATTGATGACCCAGTTGTGGTGGAGTTGCTTGTGCTCCGGGAGGTTATTGCTTGGTGTTTGGGGCAGGGTTTTACGGGGATGAGATTCGAAGGGGATGCCAAGATCATCATTGATAAAATCAATTGCAAGGATGCTAGGGACAACCGGATGGGTGCCATTTTGGAAGAAGTCTTACATTATTTTGGTAATAACCCTGGGTTTAGTGTGCGGTTTGTAGGTCGGAGTAGTAATAGGGTAGCCCATTTGGTGGCTAGGAAAGCCCTCTCTTTGTACCCGACTATGAGTCGTTTCTTTGAATTTCGAACCTGGCTTGGTTCCAGGGTGTAACTATCTATACTTTGGTATCAATATATGAATATCTTTTGTAAAAAAAAAAACGGACAGACAGAGGAGAAACTATGTTGGATGCAGCTGGAGGATGGATGAATGGTCCTTGAGCCAAGGTCCAGTAACTCGGCAAAGTTTAAAGACAGAGGGTATGATGTATTGCGAAAAAGAACTTGATCGTGGCTCCTCCTTTCCATTACCCATTATGGCTACTTTCTGTATGCGGGGAAGAATAGCTGGTGGAAGAGGAGACCATTTATTCTTGAATTTATAGTCCTAATACTAACAATGATTTTGTGGATTATGGGGCTCTAATCCCATTTAGGTGGGAGCTTTAGGTGATCCTATGTATATAAGTTGGTCAAAATAGTTAAAGTCGTTGATCTTCCCTGATATACATTGATGGCTTCTACTTTATGGAACAGCTGGCCGGCAGCATTGTTCAGAAACTTAAAATGCCCCCAAAAGGGCAAGAACAAAGAAAAACAGATCACTCTTACACTGACGTCAACTCTTGTGTAAACAGGTCGTCAAATCCGGTGGTGGAGGCAGCATTTCAAACCGCCCCTATCTTTTTTCATAATTTAAATATATACTTATTTAATAAAAAATAATTAAAATTATTTATATTCAATCAATTAATTCATATATTAAAAATAAACGACTATATAATCATTGTTTTCAAATTTCAACAACCATGAAGGGATTTAATATTGTGAAAGAAACGCAAAAATATCCGTTGTCTACACTATTAAAAGTCTCTTTCAATGTATCTCACTAAACAAGAATTAGCAAACTGGTCGCTAAATCGACTTGGAAACTTGTTCTTAATATAACTCAAAGTTGAAAAATGCTCTTTTATACTTGCAGTTGTAATTGGTAGAATCAAAACTAGTGGATTGTCGTTGTCGCTAGACAATTTCAGGGTTTTTGGGGAAAAGATCGAATAGGTATAAGGAGAAAAGAGATTTGATTAGGTCTTTATTACAATTGGAATTTTGTTTGTAGTATAATAAATTAATTTTATGTCAATTTTTGAACAAATAATGAGTTGTGTTACAGTGACGAAATATAATATATATGACGTATTTTTGTTCCTCCGAAATTTACCCCTATCCCAGGATAAGACCAAAAGGCCCTGACTCCACCTATGGTCAAATCTCCAACCCTGATGTCATTGTTGTTTTTATAATTAATCATATATTTAATTTGTATATTTTATAGATATTTTCAAATATTTATAACATTTATTAGTGTAATGGTCTGATTTGGAAGGTTAGGCACTCAAATTGACTAGCTTGTGCCTCAATTTTCTTTTTAAATAAAAATTTATGTTATTGAGTTCGAGCTTCATCCTCTTCGCTAAGAGTTCGTGTTCTTAATTAAGACTATAAAATTTTGATGCTTGGTATTTTGATTGTTTTTTTACGAATACTTTGATTTTTATATATCAATTTAATACTGATTAAATCCAATATAAATATACAACATTTTTTATCGTGTTTTTTCCGTTTCAAAACGCATGATCCCTCTTGATTTCCTCTAGAGTTATTACGGCATGTGTTTGTTCCTTGGCTCATGTTCCAATTTCATAACATTCATCATTCAAAGACCAAATGTTTGAGGAATGATTCTTAGTAGTAGAAAGAGTCCTCCACGTTATGGTTTTGACTTAGGGCTTCTTGTTTTCTCACCCTTTAATTTGTTCTTCTAATTAGATCCATCAGACCATCACGCTTTGCTAGCAGTGATGTCATCCTTCACTGCATGTTGGTCATCGAGTGTCCACGTAGACGCACTTCATGGGCTCAAATCCAAGTCTCATGGCCCATGTATTTATTCCGTAGGGCCTAAAAGAAGGGTCCACTTTGATACTCTTGCGTTACTTTGCATATGTTCCACGATGTTATGTGGTGTTCGTAAAAAAAAAAAAAAAACGATTTCCAACTTTTTCTTACGACAAATGTTGTAATTTTTTTTATTATTGCAATCGTAACATTTTTTGTTGTCTATTTCTTAAACCGAGCAAAATATAATTTTCCAACCTCAAATCTACGAAAATTGAGTAGGGTTTCTCGTCATTGTAATATTTTCTTACACCATTACCAAAGTCGTACATGATCTATAAATAAATAAAATTGAATAAGAAATACAGAAGATATTGACATATGACAATTGGTCATGAAAAACGAGAAAACATATTGTCTGGCAAGAGAAAGAGAGACAAATATGTCCGTTTTAGTTGTTCTCATAGCCGGCATAATAAAGAGTGAGAGAACATGAAATTGTGAGACATTTGCAGATTACTCTTGCGGTATTCTTTGAATTTCGTCGAAGATCTATGGACTTGTGTGTAATGAATAGATCGAGAAAAAATAAGGAGGAGCAAAATTGAATAATCTTCTATAGCAATAGAGCGTGAGCGATGCAAGTAGCTCAAATACATTTTTTATCAATAACCGCGAGCTAGAAATAAGAATTGCACGAGCACCAACATTGGTCGAATTTGGAAAGGAAAGTGTATGTAATTTAAGATTCGCCCTCATTTCGAAACTCATAAGTTCATTTTTGAAGATAGATGTCGTTTGGAAGTTGCGATAGTTTTGTTGAGATTGTCATTATGCATGTATTGTTTACAATGCATCGTTTTTTTGTTTTTTAGCAGAAACAATACATGGATTGTTTCTGTGACGTGACAGAAACTATCACTCATTTTGAGTGATTGTTATATCTCAACTATTAGTTGTGATTGTTGAGATAGTTGAGTTGAGATTGTTTTGTCTCAGCTTTTAGCTGATGCGACATACACAATCACACATACCAAACGTTGTATTCTACAATGCATCAAATTCGACAATACATGTATAATATTATACATGCATTCTCAACAATACACCTATTTAACAATCGCAACTTCCAAACGACCCTAAGTATTGAGTTTGACCTGCCAATGAACATGGCAAAAGTTTGGCGTCCAAGCAGGAATAACAGTTTGACCCTTGCACAAAGCAAAGAGAAAAGGGAAAATTCGAAATACTTCTTGGACTACATCTCATGCTGACGTCATCATGGGATCTACACCACCAGCCTCCAACGACCAACGAACCAAAAGAAAAGTGTAAACTACAGAAAATAAAAAAAGAAACCAAATGCGTACACGTGTCGGTCGTTCAATGGCCCAAATTGAAATTCCTAAGATGACATCTTAAGAACGCTATGCTGAGGTCATCGGGGCTGGGCGTGGCCAGCTAATGGACACGGTGTTTGTTAAATAAACGCTACCTTGTGTTATGCATTGACCTTCCAAAAAAAAAAAAAAAAACTAATAACAAGACAGGCATGAGAACTGATGAAATCGTCCTAATAATTGATTTTTGTTTTATATTTTTCGACTCTAACTATCTATTCGGCGATCCATCCATCCTTGTATGTTGTATATAAAGCAGGTTCTTTCTCATTCATCCTCCCAAATTTGCCAGTTCTTCGCAGTTGCTTTCACTGCTAGAAACACAGAGAAAGTAACCCCAGAAAGAAAGAAAACCCACCAAAGCCCCCTAATTTGGAAACGAAAGAAATGCCAGACAGAGAGAATTCTTGCGTCGTTCGTGAATCCCGCCAGGTGGTGAGGAAGTTCCTGGCCAGGCCTCAGCACGAGGGAGTCGGCGCCATTGTTAGAAGGAGCATTGGAAGGTAATGACAGTCTTGTTTTTCTTGCTCATATGAGGGATCAGGTGTTTGATCCTTCATTGGAGTCGTCTTCAATGAATTATAAGGAGTTTGTGATTAATGTCTAATAATGGGTTTTGTTTGTTTTGTCAGATTCGAGCTGAAATACTTCGATCCTTTCCTTGCTCTTGATGAGTTCTCTGGTTGGTGCTCTGTTTTTTACTTTGTTCTTGCTATGCTCTGTTTTCACTCTGTTTGCCCCCTCCTCTGTTTTTTTTCTTCTTCTTCCTTTTGTTACTAATTTCCCTTTCCTTCTTCTTCTAAACAAACAGTCACTGCGCCAGCAGGGTTCCCCGATCATCCACACAGAGGTCTGGTTTTTTCTCCCTGAAATTTCCACCCTTCCGTTTACATTTCAATCCAGCAATGGGATTAAGAGCGGAAAGACTGAATTTTTCTGTTTACTCTGTTTTCTGTCCAACAGGTTTCGAGACGGTCACATACATGTTACAGGTAAATTACACTGAGAAAAAAAAAATCCAATTTGACTTTGTCATTTGTATCGCCGTTTCTCCACTAGCTACCAAAAAGTAAATGATATTCCACAGAAACAAAAGAAGAAAGAAAAAAGAAGTTTCGGAACTTTTATTTTTGTGGGCATGGTCGGCAGCAAGATCCCAAGGGCACTAGCTGGGCCATGGTGGTGCCAAATATTTTGGATTTGTTTGGATTAAAAAATTGTTTTGAAATTTTCTTACAGGGCTCGGTCCTGCACGAAGACTTCGAAGGTCACAAAGGGACAATCGCAGCCGGCGACTTGCAATGGATGACGGCCGGCAGAGGGATCGTTCACTCCGAGATGCCTGCAGCTCAAGGCACCCAAAAGGGTCTCCAGCTCTGGATCAACCTTTCTTCCAAGCACAAAATGTAAGTTAACTGCCTAATTAGATCTCCAATCTTTCAATCATTTGTCCATGAATGACTCTCTGCCTAATGTTTGATTATACGTTTCACTAGTAAAATTGACTAGATACCCATTTGATTTTAACTTTCCCGAAACAGGATAGAGCCAAGGTACCAAGAAATCTCGAGCAAGGACATCGCGGAAGCATCGAACGACGGAGTGAAGGTGAGAGTGATAGCAGGGGAAGCCTTGGGAGCCAAGTCACCGGTGTACACGAGGACGCCAACCATGTACTTGGATTTCACGCTCGAGCCGGGAGCAAGGCTGCAGCAGCCGATTCCGGCATCGTGGAACGCATTCGTGTACGTGCTCGACGGAGAAGGAGGGTTTGGGAGTGGAAGTAAAGCTGTGACCGCATTGGCTCACCATCTCCTGCTTCTGAGCAGCGGTGGGGGGGATGGGCTGGAGGCGTGGAACAAAACGGCCAAGCCGGCCAGATTCATATTGGTCGGCGGGCAGCCGTTGGGGGAGCCTTTGGCGCAATTGGGTCCGTTTGTGATGAACAGTGAGGAAGAGATTGATCAGGCCATTGATGACTTTGAGAAGTGTGTGAATGGGTTTGAGAAGGCTCGGCATTGGAGGTCTGAGAGTGGGATTAGCCTTGGGTTTTAGTCTTTTAGAGGATGAAACAGGGTTATGGATGAAGAGTAGGATATAGAGATTACTCTCAAAATGTATATTAGGTCTTTCTTTTTGTTTTCATTATTTGAATGGAAAAAGATCTACATTTCACTATTGATTTTTCAAGGGCATTATTTTGTGACGCATGGTAGTCGTATGAGCCTGTGCTATTAGGGATGACAATGGATAAGACCGGGTGCGGGTTTACCCTATACCATACTTTAATCTGTCGAGTATGATCAGCTAAAATATTCAGTGAAATAACCACCGAGTACTAAAATGATATAACTATATCCTATCCAACGGGTAATTACGGATATTCGAGTAACCACGAGTATGAATTTATCATGCTGTAAATAATTATATTCTAAATAATATTGTCATATAAACTTTTATACACATGTATGTCCATTAACTACCTTCAATACTCAAAATGGTTCAAACTACAACAATTCACAACACACAAGCAAAGCAGTGAAGGCAACAAAGGTTTTGGGGATAGGGAAATTGGAGGAATGAAATTGGAAATATTTATATGAATGAAGTTTGGTTGCTGCTGCTAGGGTTAGGCCGACTTACAGCATACATAATTACGGGCGGGTACAACCGGGACAGGTAGGTGGTTATCGTGTTCGTATCCTACCCATTATTTTGAAACCGGGTATTATCCATACTCGTCTCTTAGTCCGTTAAAACGGGTAATTACCCTCGTTGACCGGTTATGGTCGAATAGGATACCCATGGTTACCGATTGGATTGACATCCCTATGTGCTAATAGATGTGGTTGTTACTTATCAACAATAGTCATAATTATTTGATGGTTGCTCCCAAAAAAGTGAGTGCACCGAATAGACTATCATTATGGTGGCTACTTCGGTGCACTCATTTGGCTATTTCGGTGCACTCTTTTTTTTTTTTTTGTGCATTACTCTAAAAATGGTCATAATACATTAAAATTTGAACTTTAATTGGTAGAATTAATGTAATACGATGATATAACATAGAATCATAACTAATCAATCCATTGCCCTAACCTTTTGACCTACAATTTTGATTCCCAACCCAAAATCTCAAATTGTAAACCTAAACCCTAACCCTAAATCCCCAAACCCTTAATCATTCAAATTAAAGTACATTTTGAGTGATTTTTGTACAAATTAATGTATTTTCTTGTCCATCATACCTATAATGACGATTATGAGGGGAAGGGGGGGGGGGTGCATTGAAAAAGTGAGTGCACTGAATACACTACCACTATTTGATAATTATCTTTAACTGTTGTCTAATTATTTCGTTAGATTATTCGTTATGGTCGAAAAATTTCGTATTATGAGTTCTTATAACTCTCAATATTACTCTCTAAAAAGAAAACTCTCAATATTACCAATTAACTTAGTCACATAAAATAGAGGATTTGAAAAAACTTCAAACTCACACACACAGAATCACAATTTTTGGTACCAACTATGACTGATTTTTCATATAACTAAGTTGACAAAGAAAGCATGAAATCATGATATGCCTCCTTTCAAATAAGCTACATTTTTTTTATAACATAGATAGCGGTTATCAATAAGCTATAATTCTTGCTTCAAATTGTGAATTGAATAAGCTTTAGTTAATTCATAATTTTGGTCTCGTGATCTATTCGTTCTTAGTAAATATTCTTTGGTGGTATGCGATCTATAAGGGGTCAAATACGTATCTCTCAAATGTTTATGGGATCGGGATACTTTCAAACATATGTACTAAAACTCTTATCGTTGAAAAGGAACAAACATTTAAGATAAAAACCTTTACAATTATATTATAATTCTTATCATCACTGCAATGCTCCAATCTGAGTACGTTTAACTTCATAGTTTTTACAAAAAGTCATTCGTTTCACCCCAAAGTATGAGAGAAGTTCATGGATGATAAAAAACAATCCAGCAATAACCGACAAGACAAATTTTAGGGTGAAGTAGGAGTTATTGTAAGAACTCTTAACCTAAATGTGCTCAGGGTGAAAAAATGCAATAATGATTGACCTTTTTGAGAACTCACTATGAAGCACAATAAACAAAACAAAATGGTAAGGCGGTATACCGAGGAAAATATTTTAATGGGAAAAGGGGTCGAGACTTGAGTTGTTACAAGTGAGTAGTGACATCAGAGCCTCTCCACATCACTCTTAAACAAATGTGGGACAAACCTTAATGAGAATGTTGAGTCCAAAAGAGGAGGGGTTGATGGGAAGTAATTCTTTAGACAAATTCATCTTGTAAAAGCAATAATCAAACCTTAATTAACAATTAATGTAGAATGAACGAGTTCTTATAAAAATTCATAAATTAGACCTAATATGAAATAGTACATATCTTCAAAAATCATCATGATCGTGCAAAAAATAAAATCGTATAAGGATCGATTCAAGACGAACAAAATAATAAAAAAAAGGAGTAGGAATATTACAACTCCTCCTAATGGACTCGGCCTACATCTTATGTCTACATTCTGCTAGCAGTCAAAATCTTGTAACCAAAAACAAGGCCCAAGCGAATTGTCCTCTCCGATGGCGGAAATTCCACCGTCCGGAAAAAGAAGAAAGAAAAAAAGATAAAGGGAGACGACAAGGAAAACGTAGCTGCCCACCCCGGCCCGAATCAATTTAGGGGAGGACTGAGGAGTCAAGCGTCTGACGGACGCACGTAACGGCGACCGCCAAGCCTTTCTTCCTCGGACTCCCCCAACCCATTATTTCCCCATTTCCACCCTCCTCCACCGGCCGGAGCTGCGGAACCGACTCGGAGCTCCTTCCGATTCGGAATGTAGCACGAGAAATCCCGGAAAAGAAGAAACCACTCAAGGGGAATAATATCTGAGATGGGCCGAGATCAGTCGAAGCTCCTCAGGATCCTTATTCCCCTCTTCGCCCTTAACTCCGTCACCATCTTCCTCTACTTCTCCTTCCACCACCACGACGCCCCGCCGCTTCCCACCTCCAGTCGCCAATTCCTTCCCGACCCAATTCACCACCAGCCCTCCAACGCCACCCCCGACGACGGTTACCTCAAGCCCTGGCCCATCCTCCCTTCTTACCTCCCTTGGACTCGCAAACCCAAGGACGACGCCCCCTACCGCTCCTGCGAGGCGTATTTCGGCAACGGATTCACCCGTCGCGTCGATGTCCTCCCGCCTTCCCCCGATCGCTCCGCCGGATGGTTCCGCTGCTTCTTCAGCCGGACGCTGCTGAGCTCGGTCTGCGAGGGCGGCGGGATTCGGATGGTACCCGATAGGATTGCGATGTCGAGGGGCGGGGAGGCGCTGCATGAGGTTATTGGGCGGGATGAGGAAGATGAGATGCCGATTTTTCAGGACGGCGCGTTTCAGATTCTGGGTTCGTCGGAGGGTAAGGCGAGGAGGTGGAAGAAGAGGAGGAAGCTTGTGGACGAGGGGTTTCTCGGCGAGTACCTGCCGGCGGGAGAAATTGAGAGGCACACGATGCGGCAGCTTGTGGGTTCGATTCAAATGGTGGATGCCACGGAGTTCCAGTGTGATCAGGTTAGGGTTCTGCCTCCTACTCCATCAATGGATCTCCTTCTTTGGCTATTTGATCTCAAGGAAGTGCAGATCAAATATTGAACTATTAATCAGAAGGGGTTTTGCCTATTTCCTTTTCTGAAATGCGAAGTTTAGATGTCGTTTGTAGGACGACATTGAATGCTGTCCTGATCTCCTGATCGATCCGGTGAGAATTAATTGCCAGGGGGATCTGGAAGAGATGTGTAGCTTTACACCGAAATGGATAAATGCCATGCTAATGGTAGTTGCTTGAATATGGATTACGGTGAATTTGGATGAAGTTTATAGTACCATTTTCTGCATCATGTCATGATTTTTGCATCCTTCTTAGCTGTGGCTTTTGATATGGTCTTAATGTTTCTGCATTATACTTGCAGTGGATTGAGGAGCCGACGTTGCTTGTCACCAGATTTGAGTATGCGAACCTTTTCCACACTGTAACAGATTGGTACAGTTCATATGCGGCTTCTAAAGTCACGGAGTTGCCTTACCGGCCTCATTTGGTTTTCGTGGATGGCCATTGTAGAGTATGTTCCCTCTTTGCGCTCTCTCTTTGGATTGGTTACACATTGAAATGAGAACACATCAACTTAGGGGTCATTTGCTTGTTGGATTTGGATCATGGATTTGATGCCCAAATCCAAAGCTTGATGGATTTACCTCAAGTCTGTTGTTTGTTGATGGGTGCCAAATTTTGTGGGGTCCACAGATCCAGTAAGCAAACAGCTCCTTAATTTATCAGAGATAATGAACAACTATAAAACCAGGAACTTTGGAGCTGATTGTTATTTCTCTATACTTCAAATCTTCAACTTCTATATGTGATTGTTTTCATTGCCTCAGCGTATAATCTGATCAAGCCACTTAAGTATTAGGGTTTTCTGTGTTTTGGGGGAGAAAGATCCTATTTTATGTGATCATTCTGGGGACAAGTTAACTTTGTTATGTTCTTATGATGGTTTCCACGTGCTGTGCTTCTAGTTGCAGAGGGATGATTTGACTTAGATGCATCTTAGAGCTTTAGTTCGCGGTATTGATGTGTCATTTCTAATGTCTCTTCTCCTTTGTTTTTTTATAAACATCAATAGCAAAGAGTTGGTTCCTGGAAGCTTGAGCATTTCATCATGGCTTCTTTAGTCTCTCTCTCCCTCAATGAATGATGCAGCTTCTTTATAACTAACGTTGGCAATTTAAGTCATATATTTGCTTTAAGCGTATTGGGGAATTCCAGGATTTCACAGTCTCTTATTATTTTTCTTTATACCTTTTGTTTCTTAGTTGGGATATGGCTTCTGTTAGGTCAGGAATTATATTCTAGAGTGAATTTTACATGCTACGTTCACTATATTAATTTAGTTCAATCATACATTGCATGTGCTTCGACCTTGGTTTGTCTGAAGCGTGTTTGTCTAGCTCGCTCAGTGATTTCTCACCTTCCTGAGAAAATTTTCAGGCACCCTTGGAAGAAACCTGGAGTGCTCTCTTCTCTAGCATCCAATATGCTAAAAACTTTACGGGCTCAGTGTGTTACCGCCATGCTGTACTTGTTCCTCTGGGATATGAGACTGCCCTCTTCAAGGGTCTATCTGAAGATATATTCTGTAATGGAGCTCCTGGGAAAGAACTTTGGATGAACCCTGATGAACACAAGACAGCACGATTGTCAGAGTTTGGAGAAATGATAAGAGCAGCCTTTCACTTCCCGGTCAATAGGCCTGGTTCCGAAAAGCCAGCTTCAGGCCTCAATGTCCTTTTTGTGAGAAGGGAAGATTACTTGGCCCACCCACGCCACGATGGAAAGGTTCAATCGAGACTCAGCAATGAAGAAGAGGTGTTCGATGCTGTACAGAAATGGGCATCATATAAACACAATAATCATTCAGAGTGTAAAGTGAAGGTGGTGAATGGATTATTTGCACACATGCCAATGAGGGAGCAACTGAGAGCCATTCAAGAGGCTTCTGTTATCATAGGCGCTCATGGTGCTGGCTTGACTCACATTGTGTCGGCTACACCAAGAACTGTGATTCTCGAGATTGTGAGCGCAGAGTTCAGACGCCCACATTTTCAGTTGATTGCCCAGTGGAAAGGGCTGGAGTATCACGCAATATATCTCGAGGAGTCGCATGCTGATCCAGTGGTTGTGATCAGCAGGCTGGGACGCATTGTGAGAAGCTTTGAATGTTGAGAAGAAATCTTTCCCCTCTTTAATCAACCGTCCATTAGGGTGAGTTCTTAATGATAAACATCGTTAAGGGATGCTGAGGAGGCCATGGCAGATTCAAATTTTTACCATACGAAGATCAATTTGTGCGATGTGGAGGAGAGCTTGGACTCAATGTGGATGGAAGCTGACGCTGATCGCTGAATGTAAATTTGGCTAGTTTGATCATGACAATTGCAGCGTTCTATGTCGTTGGCGGGCATAGAGGGTGAAAGGTCAAATGGAGGCAATTTTATTCTACTCTGGCTGATAACCGGCAAGGCGGCTGTCCTAACTTGTGACTGCCTTTGTAGAGTTGTGTCATTCAGGTTGTTAGGCGGGTTAGGTGGGGGCTGATTGTTTCTGGGAAATCTCTGTAACATAGGAATACGCAAAACTCATGTCTTGTCATGGAGATGATGGCATCATATGCTCATATCAGTTGGGAGTTGAATGGGAGAAAGAAAGTCGCTGATTGCTGGTTTCTTCATAAACAAGAAGGAACCATGAGTGCTCTCTGAGACCTGAGTATACAACTCGCCATTTTTGTGGTTCCACTCTAAATCTCTGATCATGTACAGCTAATGTTGACGTGACAAACAACAAACAAATAAAAATTAGCTCACTCGCTTACAAGGAGAAACAACTCGATGCAAAAGCCTGCCTTCAATTCATCATATCCACCTCAACTTGCGAATTAGCTCAACTAAGGACGCCAAGAAGCAAAGGAACGATTCAGATACAGACACAAAACGAGATATAGAATGTCTTAAAGGAGCTGCAACGCAGACTCTGTTCCACCAAACTACGAGCAGTTAGTACAGTAGAGAGAGGCCGACCCTTTTGATTTTGGTGCTCTTTAGTTTCTCGACATCTTCCTTCTCTGCTTCAAAGTAGAATCTGAAGGTAACGGTGAGCCCAGCATATTTGACATACCAAATTTCAGCCTCTTCTAGTATTCTTTGCTTGGTCTCAACTAACAAATTCTCGTCATACCACAAATATACATTATCTTCTGATGCCGTACCATCCAAATGTAAACCATGACTGCTCCAAGAGGCAGCTGTTAAGGTGCCGATGTTGCAATCGCACTTAATATCCAGCCAGTCGATCCAAACATCCGAAGAACACACAACGCCGAATGCAATCCCCTTGATTGGTTGCTTACTGGAGTTTGGAAGCGGCAATTGCACCATCACACATGAATCATTCTTATTGTAAGCAAACCAATCTGGAATCTCACTCCCTGAATATTGAAGATCGCCCTGTTACAAAACAGAGAGGCAGTTTTCATTAGAAAAAATGTCTTCCAACACTTTTCCCAACTGCTAATCATATAAATAACAAAAACATTATATTACTGAAGTTTTCATATACCCGAGGATGTAGATACAAAGTTGCATGAATAGGGAAATTCTGCACCATTTCTTTAGGAAGATTCTTGTCCAATCGCGGGCAATCGTCAAAGCACAGGTACTTCCATCTCAGCTTGCCTAAGTTGCTTGGTAAGGCTTGTAACAGCTTGCAACCACTTACATCCAACAGTATAAGATTGGGCGGGAGTTCTGGTAAAGATTGAATCATCGAACAGCCCGTCAAGTACAAAGAGGATAACTTGGCAAGTTTATGGATGGCGCTCGGAACAAGCTCGAGGCTTTTGCTGAAGGACAGATCTAAAAGAGAGAGCTGGTCCAGCTCCTGGATACAAGCAGGCAAAGACGTAATATCTGTGGCACAGAAATAGAGAGCCTGTAAAGATCTCAGATTGTTGATACCAGCTGGAAAACTCTCCAAGTTTCCACATTTGAATATTTGAAGCTCAGTTAAGCCATTAACAGGCTGTGAGACCTCTGGCAAACTTTCAATCAACGGGCAATCATCAAGTACGAGTGTTTGAGAGACCATCGTCCAGATATTCATTGACAAGCTCTTGAGTTGCGGGTTGTCAACCAACTCCAGTTGAACAAATCGTGGCAATAGTAATTCAGAAGAAGCTAGGTGATCTTCATCATAAGATTCCATCTCTCTTATTGTGGTATGGCACAGCCGAAACAAGTTCAAGTTTGCCGAAATTGCTGGGAAGCTGGTGATGTGTTTGCCGCAGAGACGGAGGATACTACCCTGCTTCACATTGAAAATTGCACCCGGCAAGACTGTGACAGGTGTCTCCATCAAATCTAAATGCACCAATCGTGAATTAATCTCCGGACAACGAATAACCATGGGACAGTTGGACAAGTAAACATGCTCAAGGAATTTTGAGTTGAGTTTCGCGGGAAGACTGTGCAGATTTATACAATCACCAAGATCCAGTGTAATCAGCTTGTTCAAATCTTGAATATGAGATGGTAGCTCGATCAGGCTTTTACATCCCTGGAGATAGAGGTACTCGAGATTTGGAGAACTCGACAGGTCTGGGACATCAGTTAAATTTATGCAGTCGGACAGGTGAAGCTCCACTAGATTCACAAGCTTTGGCTGCAAAAGAACAAGAATATAAAACAAGGCTAAGATATAATAAATCCCTCTTTGAGTTTTAGGAAAAATGCATTATTAAACACACTTGAGCAATAAAACAATCATTTGTTAGAAAACTGGAATAACTTTTGTTTCAAAATATATCAATGTGAATATGAGAACACATTAAATTTGATTTTTTTTCTTCCTGTGAGAACAGAACTGATATGAATATCACAACTCAAATACGCAATATATGAATAGATGAGCATTAACGCGATAATAAGAAGAAGAGAAGAGAAGAGAGAACACATCAGATTGCACCAAGTATCACTCACAATCACATGTGGGGCCAAGGATCTAAAATGGCTTTGTTAACATAATAAATCCATGCTTGAACTCATCACAAAAATTTGCTAGTGTTTCCAACATACCTGAACTTCCCAGCATCTTTCTATGAATGGGCTATGTCGTATAGCAAGCAGGACAAGGTTTTCAGGAGAGAATCTTGATGGTAGAGATTTTGAAGGGAATCCATCCCATAGCAGCCACCTCAAGCTGTCAGGAAGCATGTCAAGGCCACCACTTGGTAAATGAACTTTGCGAATTCCATGCTCTTCTGAAAAATAGACGAAGCAGAGAAATCTCAAAGAAGTCATCCCTTCGAATGTGGTAGCTTCTAAATACATCTCATTGGCTTTGAAAAGGTTCAAACTAATGCCTTCTGTTTTCACCTTCCGAATTGTTAAAATCTTGCGAATATCATCAGCATTATTCAACCTACTGCGATTTGCAAGTTCTGATTCCTCATTAACAATGTTCCAAGCCATTTCTCTTAGCAAATCATGAACCTCAATGTTCTCATAATCTTCGCTGGAGACACGGATGAGCAGAGACTTACCAATTAGATCCTCTAGTACATAATTGGCACATTGATAACCAATAGAAAAATATTTCATCACTAAATTTTTCCGCTGCCGATGAAGAAAACAAGCAGTATCGAGAAACAATCTCTTCTCAACAATACCAAGCTCGTCATAGCTCCTCCTAAGCACATCATGAATTTCCGGCTTGGGAATTTTCCGCAGTTCACACAAGAAACTCTCCCAGTAACTTTTGTCTCTGCAATACAAAGTACCTCCTAGAACTTTTATGGCTAAAGGGCTTCCCTTGCAGTAAGATATAGCCACAGCTGATAAACGCATCCAATCATCAGGGGGGAGGTACTGTCTAAATGCATGTATACCAAAGAGTTGAAGAGATTCATGAGAATGCAAACCCTCAACATAGTATATATTAGCCCTTGCATTTTCAAGCACTCTTCGGTTTCTCGTTGTCACAATAATTCTACTCCCCAAGGCAAACAAATTGAAGGTATTCAAAAGATCTCCCAACAACAAGTGCTCTAGCTCTGAAAAAGTTTCCACATCATCAAAAACAAGGAACACCTTCAGCCGAGAAAGACGATCCCTTCTATAACTAACATCCAAATCTTCATAACTTATGTTGTCCTCGGACAACAATGCTGAATAGAGTTCTTGCACGATTCCTACCATCCCATTTTCCTTTTCACATGTTTGATGGATGTTTCGAACAAATTGACGCTTTGTTCCTTTCGTAGAGGATGTAAACCTTTGATAGCAAGCTCTAGCCAAAGTGGTCTTCCCTAATCCTAGTTACAGTTCAGATTTCTACCAAACAAAAACCAACAGTAGGAAGATGCTTCAGAATTCAAACACATGGCAGTACATATGTACCAAAATTAGAAAGACGATTGAAGATAACAGATTTTTTTTGAGGGAAGACGATTGAAGATAACAGATAGATAGGCATTACCGGAGAGTGGAAACAGTTATCTCCACCATATCTAATAAACCCAAGCTTGCATTCGGCGACGCATTGATGGATGCCCCCATCTAAAGCTAAAGCCTCCAACTCTCTCTCTCTCTCTCTCTCTCTCTCTCTCGGGAACCTCTGGTAGATCCATGGCGGCACCGTCGATCGGTTTCCAGAGTGTCCTTCATGGCTCAATTACTGAAAGCTTCGAGAGGTAGCGAAGCTGCCGTTTTTTTGTTTAAGGCGAGATGTGTTGGGTTTTTTATGAGCTTTGAAGACCAGGGCAGGGCAGCAGGCCCATTTATTAAAGAATATAATATAATATAATAATATTAAAATATTAATGCTCAAGTAGTAATTAATTATAAATATTCATAAAAAAAAATTGTTGGGTCCATAATAATAATAATTAGTTGAGCGAGCTCGAATGACTATGTTTATTTTTTTTTTTTTTTGCCAATAAAATCCTGCCGGATTTCAATCGTTAAGGATAGGGGAGGCTACATAATCAGCACTCTCACCCATCGACTCAAAGACAAACCAAATAGGAGAAATTAAGCAACGAACACCGAAGACCAGGATAGCGTAAGGCTTGTTGCGCCACACAATGGGCAGCCCGATTCGCTTCTCGAGGTGTGAAAAGTAAAGAGACTTTTGGTAACTGGAGCAGCAACTCTTGAACCTCCCTAAGAATGGCCCCACCGCGAACATCATTAGTATCACCCGAATACAATTTGTCCACAACCGCCTTGGCATCGCCTGTTAATAGCACATCTCGATCAAACCATTGCCACCGATGGATCAAGAATAACGCCTCGCGAAATGCTAGTAACTCAATCAACCCAGGATCAGAGATGCCCGAGATGAAAGCACCACCAGCAAACAAAGGGGAACCACCGTGAAAGCCAACCAAGCCAATGGCACCGGCCGTGGGAGCCTTCGTCGCGCCATCCACAGCAATTCGAAAACCTTGGTGAGTGCGGAGTACTTCTTCAAAGTGGGGGCGAGTTGGAGGAGCAAATATCCGTGGTGGGGCGAGCACATCCTCCACCGCAACATTGTTAGAAGCTTGATGATGGAGGAATTGGCGGCGGAGAACAGGGATGGTGAATTGGGCAAAGGGGGAGAAAACCACATTGTTTCGCCCCCTTCCAAAGGCGCCAGCAAAGCAAAATCCAATTTGTAATATC